GCGCCAAATAGAACTGCTAGACTACGTCGAGTTGTGACCACTCATGCTTCTAAAGAGCGAGGCAAAGGGTAACACTAGGGTGGAGCTCCACCTTTTGTTCTTCCAGCTCGGACTCCTAAACTAGAAACTATATAAGGGGCATGAGATGATCAGGTGTGTGCACTAAAGCTCGACATGATGAAACACTACAAGAAATATGTCAACTAGTGACCTTTTGTCAGTGACCCTGGAAGAATTGGTCATAGATCTATGACCATTTCAGACCAATTGGTCAAAAGCTGTTTGGGGGGCTCCAAACCCTAAACCATTGCGACCATTTTGGTCAGAAAGGTCGTAATTTCCTTACACGAAATGGTCACAAAGCAAACAGTGCTAGTCTGTTGCCTTATTTCTAGTTTTTAACGACCAATATAGATGGTCATAGCCTTGTAGATTGTGGTGGGTTGTGATGACTAGGCGCCATCTCATCAGTTTTGCCTATGTGTCATGTCCATGTGGTAGTTTTTGCCCTAGGTTGTGAAGCAACCTATATTTCTGTTATTCCAAAAATTCCCAAAAAATTCTCATAAATGTATTGGATCATATCTTCATCAAATATGTCAAAAACATTCCTTTCCTAGTTCAAAAATAATTCGAAAATATTCATTTTCCTATTCTATTCAGAGCAGCACTTTGTGAAGGAAGTACCACTTTGGCATGTCCAAATGGTATCCATTTTCTACAGTGCTTTCCTATGCCCAAATAACCATCCTCCACCGAATTCCATCTCAATCCATTCATTATTTTGAGCCCATCTTCAACATTCGTATTTATGTCCAGTGTGGTACTTTGTAAAGCAAGTACCACCTAGGCTCCTCCTTTTGAGGTGAAAATTTGTGAAGACGGTCTTCTTAGTAACTGATCATCCTCAGCCAAAACTCACGCCAATTAGCCATGTGCATTTCCCGTACCGCAAATCAACCACTTTGCTGCTTATTCATGTTTGAGCATCGATCGGTCTCCTCGTGAGAATCTTATGTTCTGATTTTCTTCCTAGCACCTACCTGGGGAGTGCCCAACCCACTAGACATGCCTAGGCCACCCAGAACACATGGCAACGCCACGGTCACGCGGTGACCACGCGGCGGGCATGCGAGCTTACGCGCTCTAGAGTTGGGGCCCTTGGCCACCGTCCAAACCTCGATGTCTCGCCATCAAACCATGTATTTCTGATTAAATAGATACTTATTTACCTAGAAATGATTTTTGGAAAAAATAAAGAGCAAACTATGAGGCAGCTGCAGTTCAAATTTGACCCGCTTCCAACTGAATCGACGGGAATTTGTCTTTTTCACCAGAGGTAGATCAAAAAAATTGACACCCAACCATTTTGTCAATTGTGCATTAAATATGGCCTAGTATTTTATAAAATTGATTAGGTCCAATTTTGCAACAAATATATGGTAGGTCCTTCACAAAAAGAACTCATTTCAGGTACTCGGAAAATGGAAAATGGTTTTTTCGTCCAAAGAAAATGAAAACTTCCTTAGGCAACATTGTTTGCCATTACAATATGCACCCTTGTGCACAATATAAAATCATTTGAACAAACTATGCCATGAATGTGGCCATAAGATTGATCATTTGGCTTGAAAGCCATGAATCTTCACACTTGCTAGCTCCTTTCTGAGAACACTTTTTAAAAATAATTATTGTATTACAAGTTTATTATTTTTCCTCGAAACTTGGTCACATATAATGACACAATGCGAAGGTTTTCCAATTTTTTTAATTTTTTTTAATTTTTTATGCCCGTTTCAAAATGCGGTCAAAACGGCGGGCTTGACCGTTCCTAGCTAGTGGTTGAATCTTGGAATTTTTTTGGTGTTTCTCTGATTAAATAGATACTTATTTACCTAGAAATGATTTTTTGAAAAAATAAAGAGCAAACTATGAGGCAGCTGCAGTTCAAATTTGACCCGCTTCCAACTGAATCGACGGGAATTTGTCTTTTTCACCAGAGGTGGATCAAAATATTTGACACCCAACCATTTTGTCAATTATGCATTAAATATGGCCTAGTAGATTATAAAATTGATTAGGTCCAATTTTGCAACAACTATATGGTAGGTCCTTCACAAAAAAAACTCATTTCAAGCACTCGGAAAATGGAAAATGGTTTTTTCGTCCAAAGAAAATGAAAACTTCCTTAGGCAACATTGTTTGCCATTCCAATATGCACCCTTGTGCACAATATGAGATCATTTGAACAAACTATGTCATGAATGTGGCCATAAGATTGATCATTTGGCTTGAAAGCCATGAATCTTCACACTTGATAGCTCGTTTCTGAGAACACTTTTTTAAAATAATTACCGTATTACCACTTTATTAGTTTTCCTGGAAACTTGGTCACATATAATGACACAATGCGAAGGTTTTCCAATTTTTTGATTTTTTTTTGAATTTTTTATGCCCATTTCAAAATGCGGTCAAAACGGCGGGCTTGAGACTAAGCAGCTACCGTTCCGACGCGCCCCTGACCCTATCTTGATTCAAACCGAAAACTCTCTCTAAGGTGGAGCCTAGTTGAAGCTGTCATTCAAAGAATAAATGGGAATCCAAATCCACTTTTAGGGATATAGATGAAGTCTCGCTTAGTAAAGAGAGTTGTAGATTCGTAGAAGAGGATCAGAGTACGCGCGCTACAAAAGGCAGCTAGCCAATGAAAGTAAGTGGAAAGAATATAGTACTTTTGTACTGACCCCTCCGGGGCCCCCGGTTGTTTTGGTGCGCCCTACCCCAATGTTAGACTATTGCATTTTTAGCCTACGCTTGCTGCTTGCAGCATGGATTCGATAGATCTATCGAATCCATGCTTCCCCCGCCCCGAAGCAAGACTCTATCCAGATCTCAAAGAATAATGAGCTAGGCGACCGGCGGGCAAAGAAAGGGGGTGGGGCGTTTAATTGAAAATGACAACCGCCTGTTCCAGCAGCGGGGGCCTTGCACGAAAGCAAATCTACGATTAAGTAGCAGTTGCTTTCGCTGATGGGCCCAGTGAGGGGGGGCATTGTCCCTCAGTTCATACCAACCTGAGGTGTGTACATCTAACTTATTATCTTCTTTTTTTCATGCAAGCTTGACCTCAGTTGTCCATTTCTTATTCATTCAGGGCGCCCCTAGTGGACTTGGCGGTGCTCCTTTCTCAAACCAGAGCAACTCTGAACGTTAGGGAAAATAAGGGAAGACCACCCGAGTGAACCGACTGAAGGGACTTTACTTATCCGAACCAAACGTTAGCGGCTTAAGCTAAGCCTATCACGAGCTGCGTTGTTGCTTGATCGGCGGGGAGGAAGATCTCAAAGTATGGGGCAAAGGATCAAGCGCTTTGACTTTTCTTTGTCCCCCGGAATCCACCACAGGTTGGATTTGAGAGTCGTGTGATGGTGACTATCTAGCACGGTTCAGAGAGCATGTGTATGTAGTCTGCGCTGGTAAATGGAAGCCCCCGCCGCAAAAAATAAGCGGCTCTTCCCACGGCTCTATCACCATTGACTCTATTTATTATTATGGTAAATCATTGTATCAAGATGTCAATCTTAGATCTTATTTTAGTTCGATACGTCCACCTACGAAACTCGCCCTTGGCTTTCGTCTCGGTAGGTGTATTATTCTACATTTTCCCAAAAGTACATTCATTCATTTCTTTCTTCCCGGGTAATCACCACGACTAAAACGAAAACAAGACAAGAAATCAAGACCCGTACTACAGGAAAAGGGCTGGTGGCCGACATTTGGGAAAGTCGGGCCGATCGGGTGTCTTCATTCAAGCGAGGGTACAGAGGAAGAACGAAACGCAGTGAGAGGCCGGGGGGCAAGGAAAAGAGTCGAGTCGATCGACCGGGAGAAGCAAAACGAAATCTGGATTTGGCCGAAAAATATGCAACGTTATGGATACCATGACCGATCACCATCGAGAAAGAAGAATTTTGATAAATCACTTCGGGTGAGCGGGGCCTTCAAGCGGCCTCAATACGCTGGGGTTGTAAATGACATACCTTTCCTTATGGGAAATGCCGCCTCCTTACTAAAAAGGAATAGAATCAAGTTATTTTTACCAAAGAAGTCCTGCTCTGACGGCCCGACGAGTCATCTATTAAAAAGGACCCTCCCCGCTGTGCGCCCCTCCTTGAATTATTCGGTCATGCAATACTTTTTTAATACTAAGAATAAAATGCATTTCGACCCCGTCCTAGTTCTCAATCATTTCGTGGCACCGGGTGTGGCTGAACCATCTACGATGGGGGGAGCAAAGGGAGGAAGCTTAGATAAGAGAATACGCTCTCGCATCGCTTTTTTTTAGAAAGCTCTACCAGCGAGAAAAAGTGTTTGGCCCGAGCCAAAAAGAGGTTGATCCACTTCATTCGCCAAGCGAATGATCTTCGCTTCACGGGAACAACAAAAACCACCATATCGCTCTTTCCTTTCTTTGGTGCTACCTTCTTTTTTCCAAGGGATGGGGTTGGGGTGTATAATAACCCTTTTTGAGTATGCCCGGAAACAACTCCTAGCTCAATTTAGGATCAAATGTAGGAACCTCATGGGTAAGGATAAGGTAATGGAATTGATAGAGAAATTCATAGACCTAGGTAGGATAGGAAAATTGATAAAGGGAATAGAGATGATGATAGAGATCATACTGAGAAAGAGGATAATTCCGTACGGGTACAACTCTTATTTGAACGAAGTGCAAAAAATGCGATCTTTTTTGTCTAATAGAACAAACACTAATACCTTAATTGAGTCGGTAAAGATCAAATCTGTTTATCAAAGTGCTTCTCTGATTGCTCGAGACATCTCTTTTCAACTGAGGAACAATCCAATCTCATTTCGTTCCATTTTTAGTAAAATAGTGAAGGATATTCCATTAATAATGCCAAAAGGGGTGGACGGGATACGTATTTCTTGTTCTGGTCGATTAGGGGGTGCGGAAATAGCTAGAACTGAATGTGGAAAGTATGGAAAAACATCTTGTAAAGTATTTAACCAGAAAATCGATTATGCTCCTGCGGAAGTATCTACTCATAACGGAATTTCAGATGTCAAAGTGTGGATCTCATATAGTCAAAATAAGAAGGGACGTGCTATATCTGAAACGTACGAAATATAGTAAATATTTTAAATGCAGATGTAGTAGGGGTCGCGAACCGGATGGTACACAACTTGGTTTTGGAAGATATGGCACCAAAAGGTGTAGAGATGGTCGTCTTTCATATCGAGCCATTGAAGCAGCGCATCGGGCTACAATCGGACAATTCCATCGTGCTATGAGCGGACAATTCCGAAGAAATTGTAAGATATGGGTAAGAGTTCTCGCAGATCTTCCTATTACGGGGAAACCTACAGAAGTTCGAATGGGAAGAGGAAAAGGAAATCTGACGGGATGGATTGCTCGTGTGTCCACGGGACAAATCCCATTTGAAATGGATGGTGTGAGTTTGTCAAATGCTCGACAAGCCGCTAGATTAGCGGCGCATAAACCATGTTGGTCAACCAAGTTTGTTCAGTGGTCGTAACATAATTGGTTAGTGGGGAAAAACCGGGCCGGGACTCAAAAGAATTTGGCGAAGTGTTTGTTCCTGGACGAGGGAAGTGGAAAGACAAAGAGGGATAGGGAGCTCGCCTCCTTCTTTTTTGTAATCGATGAAATTGTACGACGACCCTTCTTGTTCCAGGCATACGACCCTGAGACGTGACGGTGTCACTTTTCCGGCCCGGTAAAGTGACAGTTATATAAATAAGAATAAGAAAGAGAAGCGTGATGTTGTCGTGTTGTCAGCAATCAAATTATCGTAAATAGATAGTATGGTTGCGTTGTTTCAATTTCTGTTCGTACTCTGATTGCTGTGGCTGCAGCTCGATCTTGGCAAATCTCACAAATGGATGTCAAAAATGCTTTCCTTCATGGTGATCTACATGAGTTTTTTTTATATGTAGCCACCTCTGGGTATTGAAGTTCCTGATGGTCATGTTTGTCGCCTTCGAAAGGCCCTCTATGGGAAAAAAGCAACCACCTCGTGCTTGGTTTGAGCGGTTCAGCTCTGTGGTTCAAGCTGCTAGTTTCTCTTCTAGTGAGCATGACCCTGCACTTTTCACTCATACATCTGACCGCGGTCGTACCTTGCTTCTTCTTTATGTTGATGATATGTTGATCACGGGAGATGATCATAAGTACATTGCTTTTGTTAATAAAAAGTTGAGTGAGCAATTCAAGATGTCGGATTGATTTTCTCTCCGTTATTTTCTGGGAACTGAGGTTGATCGAACTAATGATGGTTACTATCTCTCTCAGCATCGCTATACTCAGGATTTGATCTCACACTCAGGTCTTAATGATACACACACTGCCGCTACACCCATGGAGCTCCATCTCCAATTGCGCCCTAGTGACAACCTCTAAGGCCGGATCGAGGAGGATATTGCCAATAAAGTGCGTCCATGTATTTTTTTACATTTCAACTCTTACGTGCCCCTTTCCCCCTCACTCATATATAATATACTTCTTCCATTCCTAAATATAAGTCTTTCTAGAGATTCCACTAAGGATTACATACGGAGCAAAATGAGTGAATCCACACTCTAAAGTGCGTCTATATACATTCGTATGTAGTCCGCATAGAAATCTCTAAAAAGACTTACATGTAGGAACGGAGGGAGTAGTAATTATTGCTGATAAACTTTGTCAATTGTATTCCCACACCATTTTCGTTCCAGCTAACGACATGAACCTCTAAGACCGGATCGAGGAGGATTTTATTGCATGACATTTGGATCATCATGAAATTTACAACTCTTACATATAATATAGTAATTATTGCCGATAAAATTTGTCTATTGTATTTGCACACCATTTTTCCAACTGGCGGCATCAACCTTTAAGGCCGGATCGAGGAGGATATTGCCAGTAAAGTGCGTCCATGTTTTTTTTTCATTTCAACTCTTACATGCCTTTTTTCCCTCACTCTTATATATAATATACTTCTTTCGTTCCTAAATATAAGTCTTTCTAGAGATTCCACTAAGAACGACATACGGAGCAAAATGAGTGAATCAACACTCTAAAATGCGTCTATATACATTCATATGTAGTCCGCATAGAAATCTCTAAAAAGACTTACATTTAGAAATGGAGGGAGTTGTAATTATTGCTGATAAAATTTGTCTATTGTATTTCCACACCATTTTCTTTCCAGCTAACGACATCAACCTCTAAGACCGATTCGAGGAGGACTTTATCGCATGACATTAGTATAATCATGAAATTTCCAACTCTTACATATAATATAGTAATTATTGCTGATAAAATTTGTCTATTGTATTTCCACACCATTTTCTTCCAACTGGCGGCATCAACCTCTAAGGCCGGACCGAGGAGGATTTTGTTGCATGGTACTTGGATAATCATGGAATTTTCTCCGTGGAAAACACATATTTGTTTGGCTCTGGAACAACATATGCACGCTCTGGCGTGGGAGCTACAAGGTTTTTCTTTATAGTTTTCAACCATGCGTCAATGTTTTTATTTTCAGCTCTTATGTGTATTTTTTCCGGACTCTTATATATAATGTAGTAATTATTGTTCATAAACTATCTTTGTAGTATTTCCGCACGAATTTTCTTTCAATTGACGGCATCAACCTCTAAGAGCATCTATAATAGATGATGTAGATGCAAAAATAGCTAATTTTTGCATCTCCGAGGCTCCAAAACCCCTTCCAACAGAAGATGTAGATGCAAAATAAAATTATATCTCGTGGAGATGTAAATGTAAAACACAACTGTAAATGTAAAACACAACACTTCGACATGCAAATTCGCACCTCCACCTCCAGCAGATGTAAAAATAGAGGTTGCGCGCCAACCGCCCAACTACCTTCGTTTCATTTCCGCCCGACAGCCCGCCGTCTGCTCCTCCATCGGCCGATTTGCCCAAATCGACGCCACCGCTACCCGCCCGCCTCAACTCTGCCTGCCTCGCTAGAGTAGCGACAGTTGTCCCTCGCATCCGCGGATTCGATTTCTGCTGCCGCTTCGAGTCGAAGCTTCACCGGAGGTCCGGCTACCGTAATGGCTTCCACGGCACGGTCCCGCCTTCTTTTCTGTATGGCTGCAGCCGTCTCCTCTGTCGAGCTGTTGCCGCCGCCCGCACAAGCCACTGTTGAACGGCTACCCAATCCGCAGCCGGCCGATTTCTTCCACCCCGTAAGCAAGGTGTTCCAGAAATTCCCCCAAGGTAAAAAATCGGGTAAACTTGAAGTTTTTTTTATTGGGGTCGGAGAGGTAGTTTGACCGTGATTTTCCGCATTATAGATGAGCTTGTGCAACTCGGACGATTCCTTGTGGGATGAGGAATATGTTTTTATCGAAGAAGAGGGCATTGCTATGCTAGTGGCGATGCCCAAGAGGAAGAAGCCAAAGCACTGCGGTTCCGTGTATGGCCATGAGTTCATCCGGAGAGAACGGGTTGAGGTCACAAGAGGTTGATGCGCAACTATTTTGGTTCACCACCCGTTTTTCTAGGGAGGTACTTCTGACGTCGGTTCAGAATGTCCAAAGATAAGAAGGTGTACAATGAAATTAGAGACTCCGATGCGCGCGATCAACTTCAGAAGGATTTGATGGAGTATTAAAAATGGCATGGCGAAAGAGCTGCCTATTTTCATTATTTGTTTGTTGTATTGTGCAAAACTTTGTTGTATTTGTGTTGCATTTGATCTTGTGGATTTGATAAATTATGTAATAATTTGATATTGTGGACATGTGAATTTTTTAAGTTGTTTTTTGGGATGCTTTATTTTAATCTATGCGGCTGTACAGTAGTTGTACAACGTCCGCGCGACTATCGGCAGTTTTTACATTTCCACTCCGCGCGACTATCGGCAGCTTTTGACATTTCCACTTTGCATCGTCTGTTGCAGTTGTTCTTTTACATCTTCAATATACATCATTTGTTGAAGTTGCTTCTTTTTTTAGATGTAAAAAGCTTTTTTTTAAGATGAAAATTTTCATGTCTCATGTTTTATATCTTCAAATTTGCATCCTTTATTGAAGTTGCTCTAAGGCTGGATCGAGGAGGACTTTGCTGCATGACACTCGGATTATTGTGGAATTTACTTCGTGAGAAGGGTGTATTGTTTGGCTGTGGAAGAATATATGCACACTCTGGACGTGGGAGCTACAATTGCTCGGCTAGTCAGCTCTCGTTCAAGGTCCGCAAATATTTTTTCTAGTTTTTAACCATGCGTCAACGGGATTTGTTTTTCAACTCTTGCATGCCATTTTGCGTGCTCTTGATATATTGTCTACGAACTTTTGTTTACTATATTTCATTAGTATTTCCGTTTGGTTGACGATATCAATCCTTAAGGCTTGACCGACTAGTATTTTGTTGCATGGCACTCGGATAATCGTGGAATTTTCTCTATGACAAGCATTTATTGTTTGGCTTTGGAAGAACAGATGCACACTCTCAACGTAACAGCGCCGCACGCAAAGACCATCTAGCCGCTGGCTTTTGTGTGCCTCCCGCTGGCATCTGCATCGGGCTGCCTCATCTCTGTGGCCTTAAAGCATCTCTAGCAAACCCCGTATAATATCCTGACCCATAAAATAACCGTCAAAATAAGGGTCTGCTCGTAAAATGTTGCCCGACCAAACCCCATAAACGCGTCGGACCCGTAAAATTTTTTGAGGGGTGCAATAAAATCCATCCCCAACCGGTGAAAACGCAGGTTTCTGCCTCGACCCCGACAGTGCCATGTATCCTAGGAAAGCGGTTGGTGGGAGGGACATTTCAGCCCGCGCCCTTCCCCACTCCTTCGGCCGCTGCCCGCCATTGGTTTCGCCCGTCCGCCGCCGGCGACTCCGGCCAAATCTACAGGCGGAATGGCACCGCGGGAGCGCCCCTCTCCCTGTTCCACCTATCGGCATCAAATGTTGGTGATGGCCCTCGCCGTGAAGGAGCATGAAGACGAGAACCGAAAGAGACGGCGAGGATCGACCATGGGCCGTCTTTACATTCCTCGAAATCGCCATCTCGGGAAGGAGATGTTGATGCAAGACTACTTCGTGGACAATCCAACATATCCGCCGCACCTCTTCCAGAGAAGGTACCGAATGCGTCGATCCCTCTTTGTAAAATAGTGCAAGCTTGCGAGGCCAATTGTCGGTATTTTACTCAAAGAAGAAATGACGCGGGCTTGAAGGGATTTATCGCATATAAAAAATTCTCGGCAGCTATGCAGGTAATTGCATACGGCAATCCAACTGACTATGCCGATGAGCCTTCACATTGGTGAAGATACTACAATTGAGTTAGTGCGTAGTTTTGCCAAAGTGATCATCCATGTCATTGGTACTGAATATCTTTGGGCACCCAACGAGGAAGACAAAAAAATTTGATGGCATCTAGTGAGAGAAGAGGTTGGCCAGGCATGCTAGGAAGCTATAATTGCATGCATTGGACTTGGAAAAGCTGCCCGAAGGCATGGCAGGAAATGTATTATGGTCAGTCTCA